CAAATTTTTTTTTTTTTTTTTTTTGTATTCTCTGTTTCTTATTGCAGAGAATAGAGAGCATTATGTTAAAGGTTTTAAAAGAACTAACAGACACAAACCTTAACATCTCTCCAGACTAGTTGAATCTTGCTGTAAGGAAGCCTGAGATCGATAAGGTTCTTCGGGTTGAAGTCTTGTGGAAGTTCCTTCAATGGAAATCTCAGCCAATGGAGATACCGAATCTCTTCCAAAGGGAGCTTAAGTCCATCGGGGAAGTGTATCTTGCTGTCAGCTCCGCAGTCCCGAGGACATTGAGAATTGTAGATTTTCAGGTACCGGAGTTTGCGCATCTCGACAAAGGCATCACTGTCTATGTACGTTTCTTCTGGTAATTTTGACGTGTCGAGGTAAATACCTCTCAGAATCTCTGTTCCCTATCATACAAAACAGCGAAAGACGACATTGTTAGCAGAGAAGCATACCTATAAAATGTTTGATGGTTGGTGTCTGTGAGTAACTAAATCTTTACCACTTTATTCTTCAGAGCACCGATGGCATCTCCATGGTTCCACAGCCTACGACGATCTTGTGAACTCAGTTCTTTGCCAAATGTATACATCAGATCATGCATCTCTACTCGGCCACCAGCTATATCAACCAGAAATTTATTGTCAAGAACTCTGAGTTCGCTCTGAGACTCAGGACCGGGCGAATCCACCATGCTTCTCACAAAGGGTTCATCCTCTGCTCTGAAAAAACACGAAACGTCAAGGAAAGCATCTTTCTCTGGTGGCCACAGACGGGCATATCTTGTTCCCAAAGCTTCTTGAATCTTCTCACTGAGTTTTTCTGCCAATGTGTTCAGTCTCTCTCTCCAATGATTCTCGTCTTTCTCACGAAGCTCCTTGCCTAATACCTTCAGAGCCAATGGGTTACCTCCTGCATAACCCACGAATCGTCTCGACATCGACATGAAAGCAGCTCCTTGTGGATAAGAGATGGAATCATCAGATGTATGACAGGAGAAGTAGTTTAAGCTGTCTCTCTCGTTCAATCTTGGGACCACGTAAGTATCCTCGACCGGTTTTCCCATCAGTGACTTATCTGTCGTTGTAATAATGATCTTGCTTCCTTTCTTGACCCAGTTGAGTTTCCCGAGAAGAAACTCAATCTTTCCCTTGCTATCTACATCGTCGAGAACGATAAAGACCTCCCTCTTGAGTAGATCATTCTTCCAACGTTCAAACATGTTCTCTGTATACTCTATAACGCGATTGTCTTCCTTCAGCAACTCTTGCAGGAGTGTCTTCTGCATCCAGTGAAGGCTACGAATCATCGACTTTCTTCGGATGTCTCTGAAGAACATGCGGCTCCGGAACTTGTCTTGCCACTTGCGGAACAACATCTCGACGAGAGTTGTTTTACCAATTCCAGGCATACCGACAACTCCGACAACACGAGTGCTCTTCCGTCCCAACTCCAGCTTCTGTTCCAATTGCTGGAGACGTTTCTCGCTTCCAAAGAGAGGAACGGTTTCAGGCTCTTCTGTCTCTCCGGATGACAAGCTCTCATCGGAACTTCCCTCCGGATCATCCATAGAAGTCATTACTATTTCAGGCTCTTCTCTGTCTCGTGGGAGCGTATGGGGACGAGGGCTTACGTCCATGACATCGTCATGCTTCTCCACGTTTCCTGTGGATATATTCATGGAAGGTATCATGAGCTTGTCCCCTGTTTCTGGTCCTCTTTCCTTTGAGGAAATCTCCGTCAGAACTTCCTTTATTTTCTCAATGACTGTATCGATGAATTCACGCTCGTCTCTGCCAACACAAAAGAGAGAGTAATGAGCATGATACATACAGATATGGACGTGTGACTTATGATCTAAACATTCTCAGAACCAGAAGAATCTACAGGAGAAATGGTGAAAGTAGAACCTCGTTCCGTCGTAGGGCAAGCCTCTCTTGTTTGCAGCAAAGACCAAAGCTTCCTTCCATTCCGTGACCTTGTAAACATGATCTTTCATAGAGACCAGATCCCAGAACCTCCGGCCGAAATCTCCCTCGAGTTTTTTCACTGTATTTACATCAAGCTTGTAGAATATGGGAACGATCACAAGGTTGCATTCCTTGATCTTGACGAGCTCGTTCAAGCACCATTTTGACTCCGTGTACCTGCTGGAGAAGATCACCAACGCGATTCTCGACTCCTGGATCCGCTGGAAGAGATCGTTGATATCTTTACCGACTCCGTCATCTTCGTCTACAAAGGCGTTGATCCCGCCGCTTTTCAAGGCTCTTTTGAGGTGGGCGAGGAAGTTGTTTCTCAGCTCGTCTCCCCTGAAATTGATGAACACCTTATGCTGAGGCACAGAGTAAGAAGAGGTCGCCGCCATGGGAGGTAACAAGTGAAGAAGTCTGGTTGAGGAAATTTGCAAGCTTCCCCTTGAATTCTCCAGTTTAATGTTGCAGATTTGGATTGGTCATCGTAGCTCAACTAATACGTTTTAAAAAATGACTACTTGTTGGATTTGAGCCAATCACATCAAGTCAACGTGCATGTAATATATATACACACACACACTCTCTCTCTCTCTCAATATGTTGGCTTCTTGGGAAACCTAAAACCACAATGTGTTGAACCCTAAACAGAGATTACACAAATGCTTTCACCTTCAAAGAGAGAATACACTCATGCATAAAGCATATACAAACAACTCGATTTGCGCAATCCCATCAATACTTGTTCTTATAGAGCAACGTTTGTAAGTGACACTCAGCAGTTACACAAGGAAACCATTAAGTCTTATCTATTGCAAACCGAAAAAGAACAAACACAACTGCTTCTCGACACATTCCTGTCAGTGCAGAATCTTCGTATCTTCGAGTTCTTGAGTCACATAACCAACACACACATATATATATATATATATATATATATCAAATTCGTACGACAAGAGTTCAAACCTGTAGAATTATTACAGACCTCAGTTCACTTTGCTTAAAGCTTCATTCGACCTCGGTGTGATATGGGGCGAATAGCAACACCTTTGACGAGGAGGCCTTTCTTCCAAGTTCCAGTTGAGTTATGCTCATGCATTGAGAACCTCATCTCTCCGGCCATCTCCGGCGACGCCTCGAACTCTCCGGCGGAAATATAGAGCCACCGGTTTCTCATCTGCTCTTCCAGGCTTACTTTCCGCTCAAAGTACTGCCCGGTTGGAAGAGCAAGCGTCACGTTAACGGGTGGGTCCCATCCGTACGCCAGATCTTCTAACCCTACCACGAAGACCACCTCGTACCTTGTCCCATGCGTTAGATCCTTGGTGTCGAACTTCCCACTTATATCGAGCCAGCACACCTCTACCAGCTTAGCAACCTCAACTTGTGTTCCGCTGTATAAAAAAAGATTCACAAACACCGTTCAGTTGAAGTGTGAAACTGTACAGGATTCTTATATATATATATACACATAAGAAGAAACTAAGGTATAAACTCACTTTGTAGTATTGGGAAGACAGCACCAGGTCCAGTATTCCTCTTGATTGGACCAAGTGATGGAGAGGTCCCCAGCATAGATCATAAGACAGTTGCTCTCAGCATAAATCAAGCTGAAGCCGCATTTCGTAATTTTGCATAGTTTGACTTCATCTGTACCATCTGTCACTTTGAATTCAAGGATAGGCTCTGCAGTGACGGATTCGGTCAAGCCCCGACCTTTGAGACGGTTCGTGATATGGCAGCGATTGGTGTAACCTATGAAGACTTGCTCTTGCTCAATCTTTCCTGGTGATGTCCAATCTCCAACGTTCCAGATCAGTTGGATGGCCGGGCCATCTTCACGTTCGAGCTTACTAGTGCATTGCACTAGGATGCGACTGTTTTGATACTGCTCGTCCCAGAAGGAGGCGACTGCACAAAGAGCTATCCCGTAAAGCCCCTCATGCCACTGTGGAGGCAGCTTCGGCCTTATCGCTGATCCAACCGCCTGCTGATCGAACCACGAAGGTACTTCACATCCGGGATACGAAGTACGGAGCAAGGCCTCTGATTCAAAACCCTGCCAAGTATCACAAATCACGTGGAGGCTTTCTCCATAAGCTAAGTAATAGAGATATATTATAGGTGCGCGCATTCACACGAGTTTTTCAGACTTTGACTAGCTAGGAAGTGGTTGAATGCATGTCGGAATCAGTTCATGTCAGTCATGAGACTAAGAATACCGGGTTTGCCCTCAGAGCGTAGGACGTGATCTTATCCTTGAGAACATGGTCGAGGTCGTTGCGGCTGGTAAACGTGCATGCGGAATGGATCTGCTCCGTCATCATGAGATGCATTTCTGGATTTTCTTTCGTGTGCCCTCTCACTTCCTCTGGTATCTCCCGTAGCTTTTTCTTTAACGCCTCTGTGATTTCTTCTATAAATTCACTCTCGTTGCTGCCAGTGGAGTGGCAATATAATCTTATTAATATTCTTTCCGTAGCTAGATTATATATATCTACAGATTAAATATAATCATGTTTTTTTGTCTTTTCTCTGATATAGCCAATCCAGCGGTGATATATAACCGTTTTAGAGATTTTATTTAGGTTTTCTGAAATTCGAGAGAGTTTTTTTATGATAAACATTTAAGTCGAAAATTGAAGATACTCTAATCTCATACGTGTTGCACGTATATATTAGGTTGCGAATTAGGAGTATTGAAAGATATGAAAAGTTATAGAGAGTTATCTATTATAGAATTATACTCTATTATAGGATTGGTTTGTAAAATTCTAATTCTATATTTAGTTTATATATACGTTAGTTATTTGGTTGAATGAATAATATCTATTCCGTAACACTTGACAGGGTTTAGGTTTAGGAACTAGAAGCTGAGTTAAATGTATATGTATGTATATATGCTAAGCTTTTCCCAAGACATATATATATATATATATAGTATGTTAGATAGGTGTGGCGCATTACCAATTGGTGGAGTACTTCAAGCCCCTCTTTTTGGTAACAAAGGCCAAAGCTTGGTTCCATCTTGTGACGTCGTCGACAAGATCCGTGACAGAGAGAAACTCCCAAACCCATCCGAACATGCTCCGGAGAGAGCTTTCCTTGAGTCTTTTCACGTCCCCAGGCTCGACCTTGTAGAAGATGGGGATGACGGTGAGTTTCCCTTCCTGGGCGCAGTCCATGATCCTGACGAGCTCGTTCATGCACCATTTGGATCCGCAATAGTCGCTCGAGAATATCACCACCGCGATTCTCGACTCCTCTATCCTCACGAACAGGTCGCTGATATCTTTACCAACCCCATCGTCTACGTCTATGAAGGCGTTGATCTCCGCGCCCTTCAGGGCCTTCTTGAGGTGGGAGAGGAAGTTGTTCCTCACTTCTTTCCCTCTGAAATTTATGAACACCTTATGCTTCGGCACATACGAAGAGGAAGTGGCCAAAGCCGCCATTGGAGACCATTAACGTCTGTATCTTGCTTCTTTCGAACCAACAGGGATGTCTTTTATATATACAGATATATATTAGCGCAAGTTGAGATACCAATGGCACCATTGATATAAAGATTTGTCCTTGTTGGTTAATTAATTTGTGACAGGATAGCTCAACCGGTTGACCCGCTCTTTATGCTCAACGTTGTTAATTCTGAAACGGTCTATAGTCGTACGTTGAGAGCTTCTAATTCAAATTCACGTCATGCAATTTGTATTTTAATATCATTTTACATGTTCTTTTCGGCTAGTTTATTCCTTTTAAGCATCAAATTTTTTTAGATTGGTAAAATTTCATGATTAATTAATTTCCGTGGACCCAAGTAGTTGCATGATGTTACTTCCTTGGTTAATTAAGAGCAATTGTTGAAGTTTGTATGATGGTATTCGTGCACTGCAATCATCTGTAGTTCTATTGTCCCAACCGCTAAACATGGATGTTCTTGTTTACGTTAGAGGTGCAGGCAACAGGTTCTGTGAGAGGTAAACGTGTCGAGTAGAAGTGGAATGGGTCCGTATATTCTTGGTGCAGGAGTTACCGAAAATCTACAAACATCGGTCTATTCTCCCCAATTGAATTGGATGGGGATGTAAATTGATACTGTGAAATTACAAACGTTACAACTTACAAACTGCAAAAGCCGGTTTCCATTGGATCTTGTCAAACCTCAAAGTTCTCCATCTGAATGCTGCTCTTCAGAGGCACGTATTCCCCGAGATAGCCACCGAGATGGTCGTGCAATGCCGTCTTGTCGATACCCTGGTGGTGAAAGCTCTTGCACACGTAGTAAAACACGCTCTGAACAAGCAGTCCGACCAGATTCACGATGACAAGGACTCCGACCAAGAACCCACCAATCACAATTCTCGTAAACAGTCCATAATCTTCTCCGCCATGGACGACCACAGCCCCAAAAACTCCTCCGATGACTCCACACATTGCCATATACACGAACACCATCGAACAAGCCATCCAAGTTCTGCCTTTCAGCAGTTCATAGCTCTTCTTCATCGCCGCGAATCCGTATACGGGCTCAAGAACTGATACTACACTAGCTAAATGCCACAAAGCGGTCATGTAAACATGAACGCCCAAGAACAGAGCAAAAATCACCAGCATCGAGAACACAGCGAGAAGCACGTTCTGCAGATCAATGGCTACGATCAAGACTACCAAAAATATCAAGAAGACTGTGTTGTAAGCTAGCATCAAGAGCGAGACCCATAGGAAAGTGATGAAGAGCCGCTTCAGGACCAGGGGAATGGCGGACATTGTGGAGGAGAAGGAAACAGGTTTGCCCGTGTAGAGGGAGGCGACGGTGAAGACGACGGCGGCGGTGGAGAGCAGAGAGAACGCGAAGAGGAAGATGACATAGCAGAACTGGAAGACGAGGAGGACGGTCCATTCATGGCGGGTTTGAGCTGGATCCGAGGGAGGGTAGGAATCGAGCTGAGCCAAGATCGGGTGTGTGAAGAGGGAATGAGCGAGGATGGCGAATGAAAGAGGGAAAATTAGGGTTAGGGTTATGAGGTAGAAGGTTTTCAAGGAGAATTTGGGGATCGAAGTAGACTCCCGCAATATGCCTCGAATGCTGAGAAATTGGAGCTCCTCCGGCGCGAGATCCATGGCGGATTAGATTTTCAAGCGATGAAATTATGGTTTCAGAAATGGGAATACCAAGAAAAGAAAGGAGTTAAAGGAGGAAACTTGATGGAACCTTTGAGGAGTTCTGGACGCATAGAAGAAAGGAAGAGGACGATGGCATTCTCGTAAATTTCTTCTTCTTTTTTCTTTTTTGCGCAAGAAACGAAGTCTATATTGGGAGAGAAAGCACTGATCGCAAGGAAAATAATCAAATATAACCCTTTTTCAATTCAGCGAAAAAAAATTGTCGTTAATATTGTATTTTTTTTTGTAATATTTCACGTTATTTCTAAAAAAATAATGGTCTTCTTATTAAATTTTTTTGTTAATTTATTAAGTTTAACAATATATAAATAACAAAAGGTTTATCCAACCAATGAATAACATTTTTTTATTTAAACGCATGATATAGAAGTTACTATAAAAAATGATTATTAAAAAAAGTTACTATAAATAAAAGGATGAGAAATATTGGAAATGAAACTTTAAATGATAGCTGAAACAAAATAATTTATTGTGTAGGTTTACCCGTCGCTGTCTGATTAAACAAAAAAAAACAAACATTTTAAAGTTAATGATAGAATTATAAGAGTAGAATTTAATTTCTCAATCAAAGCTAACCAAAACTTTTAATGCATTCCATTTTCTTCGCATGATTTGATGCATGAAGTAATGTTGAAATGATTGCCGTACTGTATAATGTTTAAATTGTATAAATCTCATAAGTTTAAATAATGGAGGAAGACATATATTTTTTATGGAAAGAAAGTGGGTCATTGCACTAACGTCTTCAAGGGCATCATATTATAAAATTGGAAACGCATATTAATTGAAAAAAAGGTTAGCTTATTATAATATTTATGGAGAAAGCTATAATCAAGATAGCAATAACATATATTTTATTTTAAGCAGTCCATGGTTTTAGGCAAACAGCCCATGGTATCACATTTTTTTTGTCGACGCTGAAAATGCGTCATCTCTCATTATTGTGGTTTTGGATTTTAAAATCATAAGATTTGGTTGGTTTTTTACGGATATATAAAATTTTTGCCATTTATAGAGTATATCATCATAAATCCGTTACGTATAAAGTATATCATTCGATTTTAAGTTGGTTGCAATTTATTACAATTCTTATCCGAATATAAAAGCGGCTAAATATGAACGAACTCAATGTCTAAAGTGAAATACCAAAATAATATATATATATATATATATATATGAAATTATTGAATATTTAATTTTGTTTATGCTACTATTTATTATTTATTCTTGTTTGATTTTTTAGATATGTGATTTAAAAAAAAAAGCTTAGCAATCATAATGTCAAAACATATATAAATCAATAAAGGTAATCATTCAGTTTACTATAATCCTAAATCTACCAATCACTATACTTCAAAAAACCAACATTATTATTAGTTAATTAATTCACAGATCCAATCAGGCTGACAGCTTTTATATAGTTTTTTTTTTCTTGTTAAATTATGGATATACATGTTCTAATATTCCTTCTCTTAAATCATTGGGGTTTATTGGTGCCGCACGTTCTCTTATATAAGTATTCACATAAATATTGTAGTTATACGCATATTCCATGTACAGTTAAAATATTCGAATAAATTTATTTGATATAGGTCTAAAAAATTATCACCTTGAACTTGAAGTTTTTTCGTATGGTAAACCAATGTATGCATAATATATATATATATATATATATATGTATGTATGTAGGTAGGCATAAAGTCAACTCTTCAATTTATTTAGTCTATGAAAAAAAGTAAAGAAAGATAACATGTTAGATATTTTGTTGTACATGCCATGTCGCCTGTCGGGACATGTCCCATAAATTTGGAACGTATCAAAGAAAGCACGTATAAACCAAGAAACAGTCCAATTGACAGTTATTTACCCTTTTTTAACTAATTTAATTTGATCGGAAACAAAGTTTGCGAAAGATTCATAGAGAGTGTACAAGTTGTTCTTCCTTAAGAAAGATTTGGCATATGCTATATTATGGGACTGTGGGATAATATGTCGCGTTCCAGTTATATTCCACTCGAATTGACACGTCACTCTAATAATTTCGAATTTAATATAAATTTTTAAGGTATCGATAATGTTAAATTTTCATTTTTTTTTTCAATTTATTGTGGACCATTGTGTTAGTGATAAAGATGAGATACCCGTATGTTATTTTCTAGAAGTGTGAAAATACCCATTGAATTCATTGTGTGGAGTTGTTTTAATATACGAAAACATAGAGAATTAGAATTATTTTTATGGAATTACATTTATAATAAGATTAATTTATTCATATCAATATAAAAAAAAGGAATATCAATCCCACCACTATTTTCGTGGTAAAATACTATTTCAGTCGATTAGTTTAAACTATATATTGTAATGGATTATTATTATTATTATCTGTGATTTTCTATATATAAAATAATCATGTATTTGGAATTTTTTTTTTTTACATTAGCATATGATGGTTTGGCAATTCAAGAAAACAGAAGGAAAGAAAAAGAAAAAAAATATACAGAAACAACTGAACAGAATCTAACCTCCCTCCCTCCTCTCTCTGTCATCAGAGGTTTTGTCAGCTTTTGAAAACCAAGCTCAATCAATTTTGTTTTTTATTCCTATCCTCTCTCCAATCAATTTTGATGGTATTGTAAATAGATAAGAAGAAGGAAAGACAAAATTCGAACTTGATCTTCCCTTTTCGGATTTCGTATTCTCAAAGCCGTGTTTCTTCCGTGGGGGGGTAAAAACGATTATGCTCTCTGGGGTTCCTTGTTCTTTCGTCTTTTGACTGACGATTTGGTCGGATCACAAAGATCATGCTTATCCCCTTTTCGTCTCTTTCTTATGGGTTTGTTGCTTAATACAAAAAAGCATCTCGCTTTTGGTGGAATCAAGGATTCCCGGCTTTTGCCCTCTTCTCCTGAACCAGCGGATGCAATCAGACAAAAGTGCTTTGTGATCGTTCGAGCCTCTTGCATGTTCATCTCAGAGGGATTTTGCCCCAAGGGCTTCAGATTCTCAGGTTGAACTGGCGTTTTAGTGGTGAAGAAAGTACGCTTTCGGTTTGTTTGATTGGAAAAAACTGAGTTAAAATCGGCTCAATTTCTTCGCGAATTGGACTGGAGTCAAGATCAAGTCGTTAAATTCAAGTTCGAGTTTGGTTGCTGGCCCTGAAAAAATGGCGGCAAGGGCTGATGCTTCGATCGGAGAAGGCAATGAGACGATCGAAGGGAACTTGGGAAATATGTGGGCTTTGGAGCAGAAGCTTGATCAGCCTATGGATGAAGAAGCCAACAGGCTCAAAAACATGTACAGAGAAAAGGTACGAATCACTGGTCTTTCTTCCCTTTCTTCCTCTTCAAGTTTCTCGGACTATTTTCCTGCATAAGAAATCGTATTGTTGAAGAAAAGTTTGAAGCTTTTTCTACAAGGAAAGGACAAAGATTCAGTCTTGTCAACCAGTGATTTACGCAGACAGGAGAATCAGATACAAGTTAACGATGGTTTCTTTCTTTATTTTTTATGAGCAAAAACGAGTTACTGGGTATGATGGTCTGGATTCGATCTTTTCAGTTGATGGCTAAACGACAATAGTTTAAGAACTTCAGAAGGAAATTTGATGTATTGGGTGTTTTTCTTGATCTGGAATTTTGATTGAATTGTAGGGATATTCAATGATGTTGCTTACGAGACTGGCGTTTCAGAGTCTGGGGATCGTTTATGGCGATTTGGGCACCTCTCCATTGTATGTGTTTAACAATACATTCCCTCATGGAATCGATGACCCTGAGGATGTAATCGGAGCTCTTTCTTTGATCATTTACTCGCTTTTCCTTATCCCACTCGTCAAATATGTCTTCATCGTTTGCAAAGCCAACGACAATGGTCAAGGTAAAACCCGAGCTTTCATCTGCCTTCGATCCATATGTAAATGAAATCTTGAGGTTTTCCTGAAATTGTGGCCACTGGTGCAGGTGGGACTTTCGCCATATATTCGTTGCTCTGCAGACATGCAAATGTGAAGCAGATTCCTAATCAGCAACGCAGCGATGAAGAGCTTACCACGTACAGCCGAACGTCTCTTCCAGAAGGGTCATTTGCTGCGAAAACCAAGAAATGGTTGGAGAAGAAAAATGCCAGAAAAAGAATACTTCTGGTCTTTGTTCTTGTCGGGAGTTGCATGATGATCGGTGATGGCATCCTGACACCAGCCATCTCTGGTACGTGTCTACTGCTTCACCTTCTTATTCTTCTTCAGATATCTTTTGAAGTTTCACAGATCAACAGATTACCCAAATGTTACATTTTCGCAGTTCTTTCAGCTTCCGGTGGGATCAAAGTCAACAATCCAGACATGAGCAGCAGTACATTCTTACATCCCTTCTTTACATTTTCTTGTCTTGTTGTTGTTCTTCAGTTTTTGACCCTTAAATCCCCGCTTCTCTGTTTCAGACATCGTGGTACTTGTGTCGATTATCATATTAGTCGGCTTGTTCAGCATGCAGCACTATGGCACTGACAAAGTCGGTTGGCTTTTCGCGCCTATTGTGATGATCTGGTTTCTCTCCATTGGAGGCACTGGTATATACAACATCTTCAGATACGATCTAAGCGTCCTGAAGGCTTTTTTACCGCAGCATGTGTATTTGTACTTCAAGAAGAGAGGACGAGAAGGTTGGATTTCCCTCGGAGGCATCCTGCTTAGTATCACGGGAACAGAGGCATTGTTTGCAGACATTGCTTATTTCCCGGTTTCAGCCATTCAGCTCGCTTTCACGGTTGTTGTGTTCCCTTGTCTTCTCCTAGCGTATAGTGGTCAAGCAGCTTACCTTATGAAAAACAAGGAACACTACGCCGATGCATTCTATAAATCTATCCCGGGTTTTCCCCCTCTCGCCTTTCTTTCTACTCAAAATCGTAAAATACAAAGTCATGGCTTCTCATGTGTTCTGACATCGTTGTTTTGGCTCTGGCAGGGAGTATATATTGGCCGATGTTTGTTGTAGCAACGGCAGCAGCAATTGTTGGAAGCCAAGCTACGATATCGGGCACATATTCGATAATAAAACAGGCCGTAGCTCACGGGTGTTTCCCGAGAGTCAAAGTCGTGCATACTTCCAAGAAGTTCCTCGGTCAGATATACTGTCCCGATATCAACTGGATACTCATGCTCTGCTGCATCGCTGTGACCGCTGGCTTCAAGAATCAGAATCAAATCGGAAATGCATATGGTAAGCTTTTTTTTCGCTCCTTCCTCTGGTTCAAACCTCTGACACTCTAAAAACTCCTGAGTGGCTCGACAGGGACGGCGGTGGTGATTTTGATGCTCGTGACCACAGTGCTCATGGTGCTGATCATGTTGCTCGTATGGCGGTGCCATTGGACCATCGTCCTTATATTCACCGTACTGTCTTTCGCGGTAGAGGGAGCGTATTTCTCGGCGGTTCTCCTCAAGATTAACCAAGGAGGATGGGTACCACTCATCATAGCGGCCGTGTTCTTTCTGGTAATGTCGATCTGGCATTACGGAACTGTCAAAAGGTATGAGTTCGAGGTTCACAGCAAAGTCTCCATGGCTTGGATCCTGGGACTTGGCCCCAGCCTCGGGCTTGTCCGTGTCCCGGGGATCGGACTCGTCTACACTGAGCTAGCCAGCGGTGTCCCTCACATTTTCTCGCATTTCATCACAAACCTTCCGGCGATTCACTCTGTCGTGGTGTTCGTCTGCGTCAAGTACCTTCCCGTCTACACTGTCCCGGAGGAAGAGAGGTTTCTCGTGAAGAGAATAGGCCCCAAGACTTTCCGAATGTTCCGCTGCGTCGCCAGGTTACAACAGGCTCAAAAACATGTACAGAGAAAAGGTACGAATCAAGATCGG